CCATATCGTTGTCTTTGTCGACTACACGACGATTAAACAAGCCGCCTGTCGATTATTTTTTTTTTTTTTCAAATTCTCTTTATTATTGTTCAAATGTCCACTGCAATGAAAAAGGCATTGAATTTGACTTCAGGGGACAAGTTTTCCTGTCAAAATTGTTTTTCTGGGTTTCATTAAATATTTAGTCGAAGTCCAATTGTAATAGATCGACTATTTTTCCTAGTAGTGCAATGTTACTATAGTGACGTTGTTGGTGAAATGTAGCGTCATGCTAAAAGGCTAATACTTTCATATGTCTTAAATAGTAGTGAGTTTTCAAACATGTTTCATTCAGATTTTTTTTTCTGTTTTAGTTGGGGGGGGGGGGTGACGTTTGTTTTTTACCGAGCAGAAACCTTTATGCATGGTTTCTGATTTAGCGCCGGATGCTATACTTTCCTCACAACAGATTGCGTCCGTAAAAATATTTTCTCGCATCCGGAATGTTTAACCTTTCAAGAAAATAAGCAAACGTCTGTTTAAAGCAAAGAGTTCGAAATTTTCAAGTCGATTAAATTAGTAGCGAAAGTGTTTTTTTAAATGAAAAGGGTGTGACTGTTGTGACGTCACAGCAACTTAATTCGAATACTCGTGATGTGGCCGGCGAATATGTTTCGTGTTCGGTAATACTTCGATATTCTTTCCTTTTTTTTAATAACTGGAAGAATATTTTTCTTTTGCGCTAGCTGTCATATGACCTCCTCGCCATCGTTGAAGCTCAACTCGCGAGCCACAAAAATGTAGACTGTACGAAATTCAAACTTGTGGGGGGGGCTTTACATATTGTCTGGAACGTTCCATCGCAAGGCGAATGTGAGGAACTGTAACAAATAAAATCAAATTCTCTCTGTGCCTGTCAGACGTCACGCTGGAAAAAATGCCGAGCTAATTTGTTTGTTGTTTGTACTGTAAAAAGTTTCTCGGGGATTCGGTACCGCATCGACAGAATCCATCGTCAAACTTTTCTCTCTCTCGTCCCTTTTTTTTTTCTCAGTGCTGATTTTTTGCAGTGTTAACCAGCAGAACACGTCACGCTGTCAAATCACTCCCACTTTTTTTTTTTTTTTGCCTCTGTGTGGGACCAACATCACCGATTCTAACGCAGTCCGGGGCTCGCCTTCGTCAAAAAGGTTTTTGGACCCAAGTCGTGATGACCGGATTTCGGCTCAACTTGTCCCCGCTGAAGGAGCCGCTGGGCTTCGTCAAACTTGTGGAGTGGGTAAGAGAGTTCTTTGTTAAAAGCTTAATACGCGTGTGTGTGTGTGTGTGTGTGTGTGTGCGCGCGCCGCACGCGCGCACATACACACACACACACACACGCGTATTAAGCTTTTAACAAAGAACTCTCTTACCCACTCCACAAGTTTGACGAAGCCCAGCGGCTCCTTCAGCGGGGACAAGTTGAGCCGAAATCCGGTCATCACGACTTCGGTCCAAAAACCTTTTTGACGAAGGCGAGCCCCGGACTGTGTTAGAATCGGGGATGTTGGTCCCACACAAAGGCAAAAAAAAAAAAAAAAATTTTTTTTTTTTTTTTTGCCTCTGTGTGGGACCAACATCCCCGATTCTAACACAGTCCGGGGCTCGCCTTCGTCAAAAAGGTTTTTGGACCGAAGTCGTGATGACCGGATTTCGGCTCAACTTGTCCCCGCTGAAGGAGCCGCTGGGCTTCGTCAAACTTGTGGAGTGGGTAAGAGAGTTCTTTGTTAAAAGCTTAATACGCGTGTGTGTGTGTGTGTGCGCGCGCCGCACGCGCGCACATACACACACACACACACACGCGTATTAAGCTTTTAACAAAGAACTCTCTTACCCACTCCACAAGTTTGACGAAGCCCAGCGGCTCCTTCAGCGGGGACAAGTTGAGCCGAAATCCGGTCATCACGACTTCGGTCCAAAAACCTTTTTGACGAAGGCGAGCCCCGGACTGTGTTAGAATCGGGGATGTTGGTCCCACACAAAGGCAAAAAAAAAAAAAAAAATTTTTTTTTTTTTTTTTGCCTCTGTGTGGGACCAACATCCCCGATTCTAACACAGTCCGGGGCTCGCCTTCGTCAAAAAGGTTTTTGGACCGAAGTCGTGATGACCGGATTTCGGCTCAACTTGTCCCCGCTGAAGGAGCCGCTGGGCTTCGTCAAACTTGTGGAGTGGGTAAGAGAGTTCTTTGTTAAAAGCTTAATACGCGTGTGTGTGTGTGTGTGCGCGCGCCGCACGCGCGCACATACACACACACACACACACGCGTATTAAGCTTTTAACAAAGAACTCTCTTACCCACTCCACAAGTTTGACGAAGCCCAGCGGCTCCTTCAGCGGGGACAAGTTGAGCCGAAATCCGGTCATCACGACTTCGGTCCAAAAACCTTTTTGACGAAGGCGAGCCCCGGACTGTGTTAGAATCGGGGATGTTGGTCCCACACAAAGGCAAAAAAAAAAAAAAAAATTTTTTTT